ATGCTTTGAACGGGCACCCTGGCAATAATTTTGTACTTAACGAGTTAGTGGTTTATTTTCAGGCCGTGTTTCTGCTTCAGCAGACACCCTGAGCAGCTTGTATTTCTAATTTCCTGTCCCTCTTTTGCTTCTCCTTACAAATCGTAGTGTGCTGATGTCCCAGACCTGGTTCTTTCTGGCTCTTGGTTGTAAAATGCCTCTTCGTCCTGTTCGAGTGGTGGCGCCAGGCATTATGTCCCTAAGAGGCACCTGGGTTGTGGTCTCTGCCTGGAAGGATGTTTTGTCCCCTCTCCTGGGCCCAATAAGTTCAGTGTCAGGACACTCTTATGTAGGCAGAGAAGATTTGGGGGAGCTGAGATTGTGAGGGTACCCAGGGCTGCGGTGGCCTCTCTGCCCCCTAGCTTGCGCAAGAGGAGAAACCCTTCTGAACCCTTTTAAAACATCTGAGCACCCTCTCGTGGGTCCCTGCTCCTCTCTCTACCCCAAATATATCTAGCAGTAGTGGATTCTATGCTCAATGAAGCAGCAGGTTTTCTCTCTACAGCTGCCACTTTGTGTCCTGACATTTTCCTGCCCCTGATTCCAGCTGACATAGAAGGCCGTGTAGCCTGAGCCACACCAACCTTTCGTCGTTCCTTGTCAGCCACTTCATCATTCCTGAGGCGCCTGCTGTTCGGGCATTGTGTGAAGTGCTGATAGAGCAGAAGCAGGTGATGGTGGTCTGGGAGACCTCACAGACCCAGGAGAGGATGACTTGACCCCACACCCTACCCCACCTGGTCCTCTGGAAAGGGAGGAGATGAAACTTAGGGGCTAAGTACAAGAGGAGACGTGGGCTCAGTGGCTGATGAGGTATCCAGGAGTTCTGCAGGCACCGCTCTGCCTCTCCATTGCTGTCTGTTCTCCCGGGCCTCCCCTTCTGGTGAACGCTTCTGTTCTCACCCCTGAGGCATGAATCCAGCACCTTGACCTTCAAAACACCCCTCCCCTAGTTGGAGGGTCCCTTCTCTACCATGGGTGATGGCCCAGGTCTGTTTGGTAGAATTTTAGTGGTTTTACAACCTGGACTGACATTAACCATTTGGAAGATGAACAAATATTTGCCCAGCTGTACTGCAAACCCCTCTGAGATCCCATCATGGCAGGCTTTGTGGCTAGAAAGACTCCAGCATCTCAGTTTGCTTGAGAAGCTTATTTTTGCCAAGTTTGTTATCACCAAGCAAGCGCCAGAGCTCTGTTCCACTCATGGTCCTATTATGGCAAAACTCAAACAATGAACCTGTGTGTTTCATGTGTAACAATGTCCAAAGGGAACACTTTTCCCTCACCAAGATCAAACTCCCAGCGCCCTTTGTGATATTCGAGCCCTCGAGGAAGATCTCCCCATTCCCAGACTCGGAGAAATATGTTGGAACTAGAAAACGGTCTGCTGTGGCCGCCATGGGCCAGGTCACTGGCTCCTTCCACTGTGCCATCCACTTCACCACAAAGATCCTTCCCTGGGAACTATTGCTGTGGGAGGCCAGAGGGGTGGCATTTCCAGGCTGGGAGCAGAGCTGGTTTTGCCGTGATGTACGCCCCACTAAAGACTCTTTAGGGAAGGGGAGAAGCTGATAACAATAGGTGAGATGCAGTCTGATGTGGAACACCCCCCTGCCCCACTCCTGCCCCTCGCCTGTGACAAAGGGCCCTCTGTCTCTCCTCTTTCCTCCAAGTCACAGACCCCTCTGCTGTGACTGCCCAGGGCTCGCTGCCCACCCCTTGCAGCATGCACAGAAACTGCGTATTAGGAAGGCTGGAGAACAGGATAGCCAGCGCCCTGACTGTCACCCCAGGGAGGTTTCTGAGTCTGTCTTCCCTTTTCTAAATGGAAGCATTCGAAAAGAGGACCTAGAAGGGTCCCTGGCTCTAACAGCTCATGAACTATGGATCTAGACTGGATTTCTAAATCTGCCTAGAGAGAACTTGAAATTCAGGTGACCGTCCCTCTAAAGTAATTCTACCACCTGGCTGTTCCACAGCTGATTTTCACCTGGCCTTACCTAGAGAGAACTTGAAATTGAGGTGACCGTCCCTCTAAAGTAATTCTACCTGGCTGTTCCACAGCTGATTTTCACCTGGCCTTGGTGTGTGAGTCCTGAGCCGTTTCAAGCTTCCAGCCTCTGCTCACTCTGTCAGAAATGCTCGGCTTGCCGTCTTAATGAATGAGGCTTGCTCTAAAGCAGAAAACAACTTTGTTTCAGGCCGTATGTTGCTTCCTATGTCTTTACCAGGTCACTATTCAGAATTACTTCCCCTCTTTTCTCTTTCCCCTTTCCTTTTCAAGATCACAAAGACAGGGAGGTAGACGGTTCCACTTGGATTGTTGCTCTCTCAAGAAGTGGATGCTGGAGCTGGATGCTTGGGTTTCTTCCTCAGTTGTGTGACTTTGGGCAAGCTACAGAACCTCTCTGTGCGTCAGTTTGCTCAGCTGTGAAGTGACTGTCATCTCACAGTGCTCCCATCTCGTAGGGGTATGGCAAGGAGTAAATAAGTCGACTTAGTGCGGTGCTGATGCATCCTAAGTCTATGCAGGTGTTGGCAATGACGATGATGTCATCCTGTGGTAGCACTAGGTGGTGGGAAAAACATGAGGCTTGGAGACAAGAGACCTGGGTCCAAGTCCCAGTTCTGCCACTTGCTGGTGCTAATGCAGATTCTGAACTTCAGGATGTCTCAGTTTTCATAGCTGTGAAACTGGGGTGAAATGGTATCTCCCTCTGGGGTGGTTGTGGAGGCCTAGGGAAATAATGCTGGCAAGCTGTTTTGCCCCACAAACCAGGCTGAGTCTGCTCTCTCTCCCTTTCCCAGGCACACTTTCTGGCAGTTCCGCCATGAGAACCCCAAGACCCGGGTTGGGGGCCCTCCCCCTGAGGGGCTCCCTGGCTTCAACAGTGGGGTGATGCTGCTGAAGCTGGAGGCCATGCGCCAGTCCCCGCTCTACAGCCGCCTGCTGGAGCCTGCGCAGGTACAGCAGCTGGCCGACAAGTACCACTTCCGGGGCCACCTTGGGGACCAGGACTTCTTCACCATGATTGGCATGGAGCATCCTGAGCTCTTCCACGTTCTGGACTGTACCTGGAACCGGCAGCTTTGCACCTGGTGGAGGGACCACGGCTACAGTGACGTCTTCGAGGCCTACTTCCGGTGTGAGGGCCACATCAGGATCTACCATGGGAACTGCAACACCCCTATCCCAGAAGTCTAGGTGCATTCTCACCTGCCATGCCCTCAGGCCTCTGGATCTGGGGCAAGGAAAGGGGCGCCTCTGGGTCTGAACCCCTTGGGAGACACTGCAGGGACGTCCTTTGTGGTCAGGTGCTGCAGCTCTCCCACTCTGTGAATCTCCTGAGGTCATCCAGTGACAAGGACTGTCCTGCACATTGCTGGTGCTTGGGGCCTTTTCCCTCCAGGGGGACAGGCATCGTGAAGGACACACACTCAGGCATCTTCCAGTGGGCTAGGAGGCGGGTGTTTGAAGAGAAGGAAGGAAAGAAAACAGTGCCTGCCCTTTGCCTTCAGTCCCCAAAGAATGGAAATCTTTCCAAGAGCCAGCCTTTCTTGGACCAAGTATAAATTTATTTTAAATTGATAGGCTTCCATTTTGCGAGAAAGAACAAATAGTACTGCTGCAGTTCCCAGTGAGCTCTGAACCAGTGAGCCAAGGTTTTAACCGCTGGCCCAGAGTCTAAGCATCCAAATGAACGCTGACCTTCCACAGGCACACCCCAGGGGGCCCTGCGCTTACTTCCATGGTGCTCACATTGCCTGCTGCAGAGGTGTGAAGATCACCACCTCTTTGGGGAGGGAGGGCCTTCAGCGCCAGCAGCGGCCCACATCAGAAAACTGCTCTCATTATTGTAGCCTTCAAGTTGCATCATGAACCTCATTATCCAGGCCAGCTCCAGGTGACCAGACTGTGCTCAAAAATCAAATCCGCCATCAAAGAACAGAGGTCGGCCACTCCCTAGGACACTGGGAAGACTCCAAAGAGGACCCCAGCCGTGCTCAAGTGTAACTGCGTGGCTCAGATGGGCTGTCGCTCTTAGGTTTATAAGCATTCTAGTCTCTGTTTAAAAAAACCATCCTCCTGACTTTCTTACTGCACCTCGTCAGACCTTGTACATTGGAAGAAATTAGATTGTTTCTTTATTCTTTTAATGAGTTCTCTTGTAAGTAAGCTGCAAACAGAAAACCCTTAGCGGTCCATTTTGTAGAGTCCATCTGAGGGGCTTGGGGAAGAAATGTTGGATTTTCATCTTATTTTATCTCAATTTTATTTACTTTTTTATTTCCCTTTGCCATGAGTGAGGATAGCTAATAAATAATCTTTGAGAACACAGTGATTTCTGTCATTTGTTCTCTGAGTAGTTTTCTGCTATGTGCAAGTTCTGAATCGAGAGTGTGATTAATGCCATTCAAAGTCTCCTTCTCCACCGGATTAATTTAAGCGAGTTCACAGCAGGTCTCTAATGACTAAGGGGGAGCATGTCTGAGAGGGCATAGGGAGGGCAGTAGTATTGTATTGGGTTCAAATCGGGAATCGTTTCATTCTTAGGTATTGGTGGGCCCTTCTGCTCTTGGGAGAAAAAACAACCCCATCCTTTCTTATTGTCTTTACCACAAACTGTCCAGTTACATTATCTGCTGATGAAGTGGAGCATGTTTCTCTCCTAACTCTCAGCCCTGCCAGAATTGATCTGTTCTCTTACGTACTTGATTTCTTATTTATAGCTACCAATCATTGACTGCCTGCAGTGTACAAGCATTGTATTGGGAGATTTATATATACTATCAGTAGTACTGATGAAAACCTCATGAAGGTAATTAAAATTCTAAAGTCATTGTAAGAAAATAATGAGAGATGTGGACAGAGAATCGTTGTTTGTCACAGCACTCTTTTTATAATAGAGAAACAGTGGGAGCAACTCAAGATGTTGAACATGGGAGTGGATAAATAGTGTGTTACATGCACATAATGGGATACTTTAGGCATTAAAAATTGTATTTTTGAAGAATATTTAATGCCTTGGTAAATGCTTACAATGTGCTACTCAGTTTGCAAAATATAAGGTTGTATGTACAGAATGCTCCTAATTTTATTCTTAAAATTATATACATATGTACACAAACAAACGTGTGTTTGCATCAAAAGAGAGCTTGTTCTGCTTTATTTCATTAGTTCAGCTCCTAAAAAAACACATGGGTTTCAAACACCATATTAAAAAAAAAAATTCAATGGGAAAAATGTAGATAAAATGCTAGAGAATGTTAGACTCACATTAACAAAGGTATTTTTCTTACAATAATTTCAATAATTAAAGTATTTCTATAGCTATGAGTGTCTTTTTTATTCTGAGGAAAAAATTAACTGGTTGATCGAAATGGGCAAAAGCTAAACAGAATCTCATTTACTTTTGCAATCCCCACTCAGGAGTGTTCCCTTCCTCTGTCACCCCTGGCATTGACCTTACAACTCCATGAAAAACAACAAGGTAACAACAGGAAATCTGGTCAGACCAAATACGCCACCACGTACTTCCGATCTTTACCTGGGCAGCTTTTTGATAGATCTTGGAAGCTTGAGATCCTGTTATAATCAATGCAATACAAACATAATTAATTGTGCTCTGTTTAATTGGCTTTATGAAAACTTTCACTGTGGAGCATATGCCTGTAGGTATGAACAGAACAGAAGTCTGGAAAGAAAACATTTCTGGGTAGTAGGATTAAGGTGTTTTATTTTAATCTTCATCAGTATTTATTTCTCTATTTTCCATCATGAATGTTAATTACTTTTATAATAATAGATGTCCTAGAATTTTAGCCACCCGCCTTTCCCCCAATTACAGGCAAGTATCGTCCTGGCCACTGTACAGCTCTTGATTGGCCACAGTTATCATCACCCATAAGAAAACATAATTCCAGCTAAGTAGGCTCTGAGTTGTCAACTTTCCCTATGGATGCCCTCGTTCTCGAAATAAAAGTGACCTAATAATAGCATCTCCAGACTCTGCTTTCATTTCTAATACTGTCATCTTTTGTGTGTACACAAATAATAATGGCCTTTGGAAAGCTCACGGGCTTGTTGCTGAGATTTATTCTTGTACATGTGCGTCAAAACCAAACTACATCATCCCCTTCAATAGCATCTCATCAACCCAGAGGGGCACACTGGCTCAGCAGCCCCCAAACTAGTCATGAGTTTGTAGTCTAAGAGGGCAAGTGCAGCTGCGACTCGGCACCTGCTTTGACTAAAGGCCAAACTCCTACTCATTCGAAGACCTCCTGGCCGATCTCAGCATGGGAGGCCCAGAGGTTGGGCTGAACATGGAGTTTGGCACGACCAGCAGAGATGTCTAAGCAACCAGGGTGGTATGGTAGAGAGAACTTTGCACCTAAGACAGAGGCCTGGCTTTGAATCCACGTTCCGCCCTCACTACCTGGGCAATCTTGGATAAGCAAAGTCACCTCTTTCTCCATTTCTAGACACAGGTAATAAGAACTCCCTTAAAGGAATATTGTAGGAGGAAAAGAGTGTTAGGGCTTGGGAAGCTGAGAAATAATACACAAATACAAGGGAATTCTCATAGTTACTACTTAAAACATTCTTTTTGAAAAATTAAATTTATCGGTGTGACACTGGTTAATACCATAAGTTTCTCGTGTACGTTCTATAACACATTGTCTGTATATTGCATTGTGTGCTTGCCACCCCAAATCTAGTCTAGTCTCCTTCCGTCACCATATATTTGACCTCCTTAACTTCAACCACCCCACCTCCCTTGCCTCTGGTAACCACCATCCTGTTGTCTGTGTCTATGAGCTTAAAACATTATTTTTAAATAATAAATTTTAAATTTGTTAAATAATAATAATAATTAAATAATAAAAAATTTTTAATAATAAATGACATTCAGGGCGCATTAAATTGTTGGTGGCATTTCCCTAAGCCCAGAAGATGACCAGATGCTTGCTTGTAGGCTGCCCTAATATGTGGTTATTTATACGTTGGTCTCACCATCTGTAAGGACTGTGAGCTCTTGAGGGCAGATACCTTGCTGACGTCACTTCTGCATGTCCTCCAGCACCCGCTCAGGCCTGGCACAGTGCAAGGGCCGCAGGGCAAGGAGAGGGGACTTCCCTGCGTGCTCGGGCTGGTCTGCTGTTTGGTATGGGATGTGGGTGAAACCAGAAGGACTCAGCACTTCCCTTCCATCTTTTCCTTCCACCTCATTCTCACCATTATTTTTAACCTCAGGCAGAAGGGGTTGAGTTCCTTATACCTCCCAGGGGGTGGCCCATTCCCACCACCGCTCCCAGTTAGGTCCCTCTCTTGTTTCATTTATTTATTCCCATTTATCATCGCATCCCACTCCCATCCACCAAGAGACAATCATTCTAACCTGCTTACTGTGTATCTTTTTTTGTGTTTTTGCAAAATGGTATTGTTTTGTGTACCTTTGTTTTAATTTGGGTAACTTACGCTCTTTCTTTTTATTAGCACTGTCCTTAAGATCCATCTTCATTATTACGCACACACCCAGCTGCTGCCCTTATGCTCTGGTGTGCTCCTGCCACACTTCACCTGCCCTCACCCACATCGATGGAAACTTGCATAACCTGCCACCCACCTACTCACCCCCAGCCCACCCCCTCACAAATGACCCTGCGATGAACATCCTTGCGCTCGATCCTTATGGATCTGGTCAGAATTTCCAGATATCCAGGAATTAAACTGCTGGATGGTAAAGTTTGCAGATACCTACATTTCTGCCTAAGTGGTACCAGTTGCTCCCCAAGGCAGTTGCCCCCTCCCAGCTCTCACCAGCGCAAGCTCTTACTTTCTCTGCATAACTGTGCTCAGGTTCACGCGTCTCTGAGCATCGACACCCATGTGCACCTGTGATAATAATGGAGTCCTCCGAAACATGTGCCCGAGTTAGAGCTGCTCCGTGTGAGTGCTATCACATTGCCTCAGAAAGAGGCTGGACAGGAAGGCAGAGGCCCTGGGTTCTGATCTGACCTCACTGTGTGACCTTGGCCAGCGGGGCACACCTCTGAACTGGGGGATGTTCAGCTGGCTTCTGGCCTTGCCACCCGCCCAGGACAGTTGTGAGTAGTAGGTAAGAGAACCCATAGGAAAGTACTTTCAAGGCCTTAGATGTACCCTTGCCCCTTGCACTGCATCCTGTCTCCAGTGCCACGGGTTCTGTCAAGGTGGATGCTCCCAGCTTCCCTTGGCGGAAGCTTTGCCCAGTCCCAGTGGCAACTTCTCTTCACGTGGTCAGCCTGAGTCTTGCCCCAGGGGCATGTCCTAGCTATCTGCTCCACACCCAAGCTGCGTCATGGGTAGAACCCAGAGTTCTCCCATTAGGGCATCCTGCCCTCTCTCAGGAAGGCCTCCTCTCTAACACCTCAGGCATCCAGGAAGCTCCAGCTCTGACTCTAATCCAGCTTGGTCCTGGCACTTCCCAAAGCACAGAATGCCTTTATTAAAAGTCACAAAGCCGGGGCTGAGAGTTTCCGCTAGGTGTGCGTAGTTTCCGTGCTTGTGGGGCATGCTGTCAGGGATGTAGTAATCTTCTGTTCAAACAGCAATCTGAGCCAGAAAGTGGCAGAAATGTCAATAATCTTCCAAGGCTAAGTGAAACTATGCTTTGAAAGATGTAAGTCCTTGTTCATGGTCACGGGCAGGCAGCCTCGTGGTAAACTTGGGTCCATCTCATCTTGTCCCATCTTTCAGAAAAACTAACCTTATCTCTAGTCCAGGAAGCCATGACAACCCTCCCCTCCAGGCATCCCTTTTGAGTGCCTCTGTGGCCTCTCCACTCCCCCTTACCTTCCCTGGCCAGCCTCCTCCCCCAAGGGCTCCCAGATTCCTCCAACCACCCCACATAATTCGAAACTTCCCAGTGTCTCATTCCATGCCCAAACCACTATGTGCTATGATCCCATGCCACTTCCCACCTCACCCTACTGGGCTTCTGCTATCCTGGGAAGCAGGCTCTGAGATCAAGATTTACGTGTAGAAGACTTCCTGAGAAGACTTCTGTGAGAGATGAGGGGAGAAGGACCAGGCAGGGAGAAGCCGAGCTGCTCCCACACAGAGCTCCCGAGCTGGGGCAGCCTTGCAGAAGCCTTGTTTGGAGGCTGGGAGCAGGGCCTTCACTTTATGTCCCAAGCCGCCCTATGGGTGAGGGTCCCCTGGGGGAGGCAGCTCCCTTCAGCCAGAGTAACTCCTGGACAGAGCCTCAGCTCTGAGCCATCAGTGGCCAGCACTCCTAGGGGAACAAGGCCCTGTCCTGAAGCAGGATCTGGGTGGTGCAACCAGAGTGTTCACTATGGAGGCCCACCTGCCTGCAGCCCTCTTCCTGCCTCCAGCCCTCCTCCTGCCTCTTCCTCCTTGGCTTTCTTCTGAACTACTCTGTTCTTTCTCTCAGCTCAGGTTTCCTGATTCAGCTCTGCCCCATCCCAGGTTCCTGGCACCCTTCCTGAGTGGGAACCCAGCCCCAGGCTCCCTGTGCAGGTTGCTACTTCTCCATGGTCACACTTATAGCCCAGCATTCCCCATGGTGCCAGCCCAGTCCCAGTGGCAACTTCTCTTCATAGGGAGCAAGGCCTTATCTTCTGTCTTTCCCTCTCTACTCAAAAGCCACCCTGCCTCTGCACTTTCTAAGATCTGCATGTGGCCCAGGTCACACTAACAGGCTGTAGAGATGCCACTTGGCAGGAAGGAGCAGGACTTTGGCCACTTTGGCAGACAGGTGAGGTGCTTTCTAAAGCTCAAGAACCCCCACCCCCACCCCCACCCCCCAGACACAAGGGGGCATCTGCCCTTGCAGAAATTAGGTCAAAGCTGTGGGCCTTTACTGGGGCTGCTTACTGCTCACTATTGGGGAAGAGACAGAAGAATTCTGTGCAGAGAGCACAGGCTTTAGAGGACAGGGACCCAATCTGCCACCCCAAGTATGACACTGTTCATTTGTGCATGTCATAGATATTTATCAAGCTCCTTGCTGTGGGCTAGATTCTGGGGTCACAGAGGTGAAGGAGGTGGGTCAGCCCCCACTCCAACAGAAGTTCCCACAATGATGTGATCTCACTGCTGTGGGTACATGGACTGATAGGGGGCCGTAGGTGCTCCTAGAGGCATAACCTGAGAAGTGAGGACAGGAATAACATCTATTGTTTTATTTTGCTCAGGCTGCCATAGCAAAATACCACAGATTGAGTGCCTTAAACAACAGAAATGTATTTTCTCAGTTCTGGAGGCTGGTAGTCCAAGTGAGATCCATGTTCAGGGTGAGGGATATCTCCTGGAGGATGCTACAAGAAGCTTAAGTGTGCCCTTGGTGAGAGAGAGCACGGCTGTGTGGCCTTGAGGAACATACTTGACCTCTTTGAGTCTCCCAGGTATACCCATCTGCTGGCCATTGTGAGGGGTAAATGAGATAGTGTAGGTAACATATTCCCTGGTCCCAACTCATGGTGGCTTGCCTGGAGAACTGCAGTGCAGTTTGGAGCAGGAGGTCGGAGGGGCCTGCAAGGAAAATGGAAAAGATAAAGTTAGTAACACATTTGACCAAAAAATTATATTTACAGGACTTAAGGGGTATAGGAAGATCTAGCCACATAGTAAAAGAAAACTAAAACTTCTTTTTTTTTTTTATTATTCATGAAAAACATAATAGCTTTATTCATTATAGTCCTAAACCAGAAACAGTCCTGGTGTCCATAAACAGGAGAATGGATAAGCAAACTATAGTAATTCATATCATAGAATATTATTCAGCAACGAAAATGAAAAAACTATTGATATGTGCAACTGTTGCGGAAAAGATCCAAAATCAGACCCGTGAGAAACCAAGCAGCACTCAGAGAGTTGGAGAACTCAGGTTTATTATGCCGGTGGTCCCAGTGGAACTAGCGCTCTGAAGATCTGGGCCCGGAGCTCAGTTGCAACATCCTTATATAGAAGCTTTTTGGTACGGAGCTGA